TTGTTTGTTTGTTTATTCGGATAAAAAATTTTTTTAAAAAAAAAAAAAAAAAAATTATTTTAACCTGAATCGAATAACTTGTTTCGATTTACGAAAAAAAATAAAAGTAATATTACATGACTCAGTTTTGTTGTTGTTGTTGTTGTTTGTTGTTTGTTGTTTTCATACTTGTTAAGGGAATAAAATTAAAAGTTGTTGATTTTTTTTATATAAAAGGAAATTAATGTATGCCCGAAAAATTCCCGGTGCCCGTGAAAAAAAAAAAAAAAAAAAAAAAAAAACGTAATGATGAATTTATTCTGACGTTTTTCTTTTGCCAAGCCCCCTCCCCCTCCCCCCCAAGTTTTTAACTTGATACTTACTTATTAAATCTCAACGTAAAGTTTTTTATTATGTTTGTTATTAATAATTAATTTTATTTTATAATTTTTTGCTACCTGAAAGTAAAAAAAAAAAGGAAAATTTGCGTGTGTTAATGTTTAGGCGTACAAATTTTTTGTAATAATGAAAGCATTTTCCTTAAAGCATTTTTCGACATTTTTTTTTTTTTTCACGAATTTAAAAAAAAAAAAAATTTTTTAAGGTCGTTGACAGTCTAGAATTTTTGTTTTTTTTTTCCACAGGAATTTTTTACCTTTTGACCCGGATGTTCCGAAATTTTGGCATCGGATTATTTATATATTTAAATAATAAATTTTTACATACCAAAAAATTTAATTTTTGTTATAAAATTTGCCAAAATATTTTAATTTTGAAAAAACTGTTTGACAAAAAAAATTCATTCATTCATTCATTCATTCTCAAATGATTTTTAATTTTAATGGCGTCATCTGAACGAAATAATTATTCTAATATTAATTATTATTATTATTTATCGATTGTTTTTCTTTTTTTTGGGGGGGGGGGGAAATTAAGGTTCGAGTCATGAAAAAGTTTTTTTTTTTTTTTTTTTAATAACAAATTCAAGGGAATTACCAAAAAAAAAAAAAAAAATTTTTATTTAGTTTTCGTTGCCCCAGTTCGAGGGGAAAAAATAAAAAATAAAATGAGGTGAAAGTATATAAATATTTTTAATAAATAATTACATAGGTACATAAATTTAATTGATTTGGGATCGTTGATTGTTTTTTTTTTTTTTTTTTTTTATGAAAAGTTCATCGGGCTCGTTCTTATTAATTATTTATTTATTAAAAATAATTATTTTTTTTTTTTTATAACAAGGGTTTTGGTTTTTTGACTTTGTAATGTGCATGACACGGTTATTTTTAACGTTACTCACACGCGCACACACACACACACACAGGTACAATGAAAAGAGAGATATGATAATAATTTGTAGTTACATTATCTACTTATCCACTTAATTTTATATATTTGTTTAATAATCAGGTTGAATAATTCGTATATGATTGACGGCGGGAATTTTTTTCTTTTTTGTAATTAATTGGGGGGGGGGTCTCTTTTCTCCCCTCGTTTTTATATCATTATTATTTTTTTTTTTTTGAACAAAAATGTTTCGTATTAAATGTTTGCTTATTATTATTCCTATTTTTGCAATTAATTAATTATGAAATTTGTTTTTTAATTGCAATTTAATTTAAAAAGTTTAAAGTAAAGTAATAATATAATAATAATTATTATTATTATTATCTGACAAATAAATTGTGTAATTTTTTTTTTTTTAATAATTTTCTTGTTATCAATCGTTTAGTCTTATTCATATATTTTTTTAACTTGATTTTGCAAAAAAAAATTTTTTATAAACAATTTCTTCTTTTTTTTTTAAATTTATTATGTAACGAGACTTGTTTAAATTATTTGTTAATCCGTTAAGAAAAAAAAAGAAAAAATTTGCGAAATTGTCTCCGAAACCGGTAAATTAATCATTATTATTATTATTATTATTATTATTATTTAAATTTTTTTTTTTTTTTTTATAATGAATTGAGTTTCTCTTATGTATATTATTGCCAAATAAAAAAAATCCACGTATATAATTTGATATCAACCTAAAATTTTATTTAAATTATTTTACGACTAAATAAAAAAAAATTTATTTATTTATTTATTTACGAGTGGGGGACGCGAAAGAGAGAGATAGATAGAGAGAAAGAGGGAGGGAGAGAGAGAGAATTTTTATTTAAAAAAAAAAGAAAATTTCACTTTTCCTTTTTCGAAGACAAACAAACAATTAATTAATTATAAATAATTTTTTAAAATTCTTTTTTTTTTTATTTAAAAAATATTTATTTAAAAGTAAGAAAAAAATAATAATAATAATAATAATAATAATGATAAAATTGGTTAATCGTCAAACACGAAACGAAATGAAATCCAAGTAAATCTCCTTGATTTTTATTACAACCTTGCTTAATCAGCAATTATACCGACGAGAGTATTGTTTGTTGTTGTTGTTGGAAATGCTTTGAAATATAAAAAAAAGTTTTTTAAAATAATTTTTTTTGTTTTTTTATGCAGATATGGCTGGAGTTTTATTGGAAGCTAGACCTTATAGACCATTTAAATCTTCCGAAGAATATTTATACGCCATGAAAGAAGATTTGGCAGAATGGTTAAACATATTATATTCAGATTTGGAAATCACAGTGGATAATTTCATGGACAAACTCGAAACCGGTGTCGTTCTTTGTAAGGTAGTACCATTATTATTATTATTATTTCCTATCGTCAATAACATTTTAACTCATCGATCGATCGATCGATCGATCGATTATCGTTTTAATTATTTATTTAATGCGTTATGAACGACCGCAAAATTTTTTTTTTTATAATATAAATTAATCGAAGCGTTTGATATAAGATACTGAGTAAAGTTTTTTATTATTATTATTATTTTTTTTTTTTTTTGTTTTGTAATGTTGGTAATTAGATATTCGTTCGAGTTATGTCGTCGCTCTAAAAAAAAAATTTTTTTTTCTAAACTTTTAATAATTTTTCAAAAAATGTCAAAAAGATTTTTATTGTTTCTCCCCATTTCAGATTATTATAATCGATAAATAATTTTTTTTTTTTTGTTACCTGTTGCAATTTTATAAAATTTATTAACTATTGAATATGACAAATTGCTTTTCATAAAAAAAAAAAAATTTCAATTCGGTCGTAAGTTATTATTATCATTTTGTTGTCTGACCTTTTCATAAACTCTTTGCTTTTTTTTAGACGTGTGTGATTGAGTAAAAAAAAGAGTGAGATGTTTGTTGTCGGGTTTTGTAATATTATTGAATGAAGCAACCAAAATGTTTGAAAGAGTGTAAGAAGGAAAAAGAGAGAAAGAGAGAAAAGAAAGAAAGAAAAAAAGAAAAATAGTTATGATAAAAAAAAAAGAAAAAAAGAAAGAAATGAAAAGTGGCATTCATCATTTTTTATTATTATTATTATTGTTGTTGTTGTTGTTGTTGTTTGATTGCGCGTTTTTAAAGATTTCTTTTAAGTTGCTGTTTAAATGGTGGGGGATTGAGAGGGGAGGGGTGAGGGGGAAAAGAGTTTTCATTTCGAATAACTTTTCTTACAAATTTTTTTATTATTTTATTAAAAAGGAAATTTTATATATTGATGACGTATTTGCAATTGTTGAAATTCGCGCCATTATTGTTTTTTTTTTTTTTTTAAAATAATTAATCGAATCATTATTGATTTTATAACGGATTTTGTTTGTTGTTTCTCACTCCGAAGTTTTTCCTTTTCAATCATTTTTTTATTATGTAAAATAAAAGGATGTGTCAACGGGTTTTTTTTTTATACACAAATAATTTTTTTTCTTTGTTGTTATCATCATTATCATTTATTTAAACTTTCGATTGATGAATTAAAAAAAAAAAAAAATGCATACAAGTATATATATAATTTGGGTGGGTCGTCCTTTTGTCGACCTATTTTTCGAATTTTCTTTTTTTTTACTGAGCTTTTCCGACAATTATTTTTTTTGAAGGTTTTAGAAATGTGTAAAATTATACGCGTAAACGTTTTTGTGACTCACGTCCGCCATTAAAAAAATTTTTCTTTTTTTTTTTTTTTGTATGACAATTAAAAAATTTCAGTGAGTGTTATGTAATTATATACTTTTGTAATAAATAGTTTTCGATATGTCGCCATTATTTAAATACGATGTGCTTAAAGGTTTCAATCCAAGTATATCAAGAACTTTTTTACCGTTAGAGGTTAACCTTAACAGTTTGATAAAGAGAGAGAGAGAGAGAGAGAGAGAGAGAGAGAGATCAACAAGGGAGAAAAGGTGTAAATTAATAAATATTCAATTTCATTCGAACTTGAGAGAATTTTAAAATAAAATTTTTTTACTTTCCCTTACGATTGATTTTTTTTTTTTTTCTAGTTAAAAAAAAATTTTTTCAAGTTTGTGAGTAAATAAAAAAACAAAAAGTATTTTAAATATTTGTTTGTTTTATTAATTAATCAAAATGCAAAGTTTGTTTAATTAATTTGTACGAATGTATAAAATGGCGAAATATTCATTGGTATAATAAAAAAAAAAAAAATTGTCATTGAAAGGATTTTAATTAATTGAACAAAATTAAGGTGTCTTGTTGTGTTGTAAATGCTAAGGTTGAAAATGGCGGCAACATAAAAACAAAACAAGTTGTTATCGATAATAATTATGTGTGAAATCATCAAATCATTTATTCTTATCATTTCTTATCAAACGTCGAATGAAATACAAAAAAAAAAAAAAAAAGTAAACAAAAATAATTTTTGATAAAGTTGATTATTAACATTTATTATTATTATTGACAAAGGTCGTGGAAGTAGAAAAATAATAAAAAAATTATTACGATGCAAAAAAATATTTAATAAAATTTACATAAAAAAATTTTTTTTAAATTGATTTTCAAGGACTGTGATTTGTAATAAAAAATTTTTATAAAACATAATCGAAACATTATTATTATTATTATTATTACCATCAGGTTATGGTATAAATTTTTAAGAAAAAAATGGCAAGAAAATCAAACGGTTTGTTTTTTTTTTCTTTTTAAGGCAAATTTGCAAAATGATGGTGTATAAGATTAGGTAAAATTGAAATGATTACACGTTACTTTAAATGATTTTACCGTTTTTTCTTCTTCTTTGTAGCGAAATATTTATTATTAGTCTTTTCGCGTCACAAGTTACAAATTACTTTGCTGTTTTTCTTTTTCCTTCCCCTCCCCCCTCTCCCATTTGGTAATTTGTTAGAATTTGCGGTATCATCGAAAGAAAGAAAGAAAGAAAAGGAGTGATAAAAAAATTTTTTTTAATCCTTTTAAAGCTAACTTATTAATGCTCACGTTTTTTTTTTTTTTTTCGTTATAACTTTGTGAAAATGTCCATTAGTTTATAAATTAAGATTTTAAAAATCGATGGCTTAAGGCGATGATATTGCAATTAAAATAAAATAAAAAAAAAAAAAAAATGTTTATGCGTATACAAATTGTTACACTCCTTGTAAGACGACTCACACACACACACACACACACTTTTTAAGGTACATCGTTATTTCAAAAAAAGAAAGAGAAAAAAAGGTTGGGCATAATAGAAATTAAGGTATGAATTTTCATTCAGGAAATAAAAATTTTCCTCTTTTTATTCTTCTTCTTTATTATTATTTGACTAAACATTCATAAACGTTAAAATAACGATAAACCATAACATTCATATGTTTTCATACGTTTTACGTTTGTACGTAATGTGTTTGTTGTGCGTGTGCGTGTGCGTGTGCGTGCGTGTGCGTGTGTGTCCGCCTATCTTACAATCGTAAAAAAAAAAAAAAAAAATTTTTTTATTTGTGAAAGTTGACGAAATGGATTGATAATTTTTTATCGATTGCGGTATAATCACACACACAATCCAAAATAAATAAATAAATAAATAAACGAGAAAAAGGTTTAGAGAGATTTAATGTAATAATTTCACTATCGATTATTATTATTATTATTAAACAAATATTTACTTTCGTTTGTGCAAAAAAAAAAAAATAATTCATTTTTCCCTTCGAATATTTCTTTAAAAAAAAAAAAAAAAACAAATATTCTATTGAATAATGTAAAAAGAAATTTTTGTCCTCTTTATTTACATATAAAATTTCGGTGAGAGAGAGAGAGAGAAATAAGGTAAATTTACGTCATTTAAAGACGTCATAAGAATTAATTTTACAATTTTACCGCGTAATTATGAATGGAAGAAAAAAAAAAAAAAAAGGAAATGGAAAAACTCAAAAATGGATACGAAATGTATTTTTTTTTATATATCGGAAATCGATAATAATGCTTAATGAATTTTAATTTATTTTTTTTTTTTACTAACGTAAGAATTAAACGAAACTGATTTTTTGTTCTAATTAACTTTTAACAACACAAGGACGTCGGTTTATTTTTATGTTTTCATTCAAATATAATAACTTATTGTCCTTAGAATAACTATATTAATGTAGTAATATATACAAATATATACAGACAGTTTTTTTTTTTTCCACATCATATATTCAATCAAAAGTCGCGATTATGGGAAAAGTTAAATAAGCAAGCGATACGACAACAACAACAACAACAAAAAAAGAAAAGAAAAAAATTAGCCATTGAACTGTTGACTTATTTATGACCTATTAAAAAATTTTTATAACAATAGGAAAACTATTTAGAATAGAAAAAAAAAAAAAATCAGATGTTAAAATGACTAATCAATTTTCTTTGAAAGGAAAATAGTTATGATTCTTTATTGCTAATGTGAGTGACTACGTCAATTGTATCTTTTAGCTTTTTCTCTCTCTCTCTCTCTCTCTTAAAAGTTCATCTTGATTCTCACCTTTTATTGTTTTTTCATTGCTTGCCTTGTTTTTGCGCTCACAAGTTGAAAATGTTGAAATTACAAAACATTTAATTATCAGTTCGTAGAGATTGTAATTAAATTTTTTTTTTTTTTTGTTTCCAGCATGCGAACAGCGTGAAAAAATCAGCCGAAGAATACGTCGCGAGAAAACATTTGAAAAAAATGACATCTTCCCAAGCATTAACGGCATCGATAATGACGAAAACGGCTCTTCCCATAACGAAAATGGGAGAGATAATATATAGGCTGTCGGCGAAACCGGGAACGTTTTTCGCTCGTGATAACGTGTCGAATTTTATAGATTTTTGCCGTCACGGACTCGAAATAATCGAATGTCTCTTATTCGAAACGGATGATCTTATTATGAGAAAAAATGAGAAAAATGTTATTTTATGTTTGTTGGAAGTGGCGAGGAGAGGAGCGAAATTTGGAATGCTCGCACCCATATTGGTTCAAATGGAAAGGGAAATCGATAGGGAAATAGCTGCCGAACAACGTCTTGCCAGAGGTGACACAGAAGACGAATCCTCGTCGGAAGATGAAGAAGAATGCATCGTGCCCTATGGTCCCATACCGCAGATCATTACAAACGATCTTAAAAACCTCGACGAAATGGTAAGTCGTCAATATTGTTTACGTCAGCAAAATCCCCCGCCCCCCACCATAATCCTCCCCCTACCTTTCCACTTTAAAAATCAATCAAATTTTTAAAAATTTCATTTTTTTATTGATTTTATCCACTTTGTCGTAAAAAAGAGCGGTGGGAGGGAGGGAGAGAGAAAGAGAGAGTGAGAGAGGGAGGGAAGAAGGGAGGGAAAAAGAAAAAGTATAAAAATTGACGTTTTTATAAGCGTGGGTGGTTAGTTTTAATGAAAAGTAGAACATTATTAAAATTCTTTTTAACGTGCCAATATTTTCTTTTAAAAAAAAGTATAAAAATTTTTTTAAAATGACGATTCACTGGGAAATCCAATAAAAAAGCTCACTTTGCTTTTCTCATCGATTTTTTTTTTGTTGTATATTTCACAATTAACCTTTACGACGACAGCGTGGCAGGGAAAAAACAAAAAAAAAAAAAAAAACGAACTAAAAGAATTAATTTCTTTCCTTTTTTTGTTTTCCATTCGGAATTTTCCTTATTTGGTGTTTTTTTCACGTTTTTTTTTTTTTAAACAAAATTTTCTTCATGTCGACTCATTGACATTGAATTTTTTCTTTTCCCTTTTTTTCTAAATGAAATTGTGCTGACTAACATTTAATGAAAACAATAAGTGTTTAGAAACGTGATTTTTTTAAAAACCCATTCTCTCTCTCTCTCTCTCTCTCTCTCTCTCGACTTTTTACATCGATATACAAAAAAAAAAAACAAAAATAATGTATGTGTGTGACATTTTGGATAAATTAACCTCTCATTTTCCCGATTCTCTTCCAAGCTCGCGAACTCCCTTCACTAATTTTTCTTTGTTCTTTATTATTATTAATTTTAGCAAAAAAAAACACTAATTAGTTCTCTCTCTCTCTCTCTCTCTCTCTCGTACCTGAGTAATGAGAATGAAATTTTTTTATATAAATAATAAAAATTTCAAGTAAGAAAAAAAAAATGTCAATAATAACGCGTCATACAGCTTCGTACATACAATCGTAAAAAAAAAATTGACGTTCGATAAATGAATGATGGCATCATCATCATCATCATCAATTCATTCATTATGATGCACAAAAGTTTAACTGAAAGCGATGATAATAATAATAATAATAATAATAATAATAATAATAATTCGTTTAAAACATGAAATTTATCGATAGGAAAAATAATTTTTGCGTAACGCAGAAAAGAATTTAACGAACACATACAAATCATTTCTCTCTCTCTAAAAAAAAAAGGTTCAGGTTTTCAGGTGATTTTGCCCTTCCCTTCCCTCCCTCCCTTCCTCCTTTTATTTTCTTTTAAATTTATTTATTATTATATTACATTCCGATGAATAATAATAAATATTATTTCTTTTTATTATTATTATTATTATTATTATTATTTTCGTGTGAAAAAAAAAAAAAAAAAAATTTCGGATTCCCCTCGTCAAAAAAAAAAATATTATTATTATTATTAGTATTTTAACATTTTTCTCGGAAATCGGGTAGTGGTAGAGTAGCAGTAAAAATTAATTTTTTTTTTTTTTTTTTTTTTTATTATTCGAAAAGGGATGTTTTTTTTTTTTTGTTAAAGGGGGTTGTTTTTTTCTTCAAGGATTCTCGTCCATTTTGTTTTCTACAAAACCCGTTTTATATAAATTATTTAATTTTATTTATAAAAAGAAAAAGAAAAAAAAGCCGCCATATTTATAAAAAAAAACTCACGTCATTATGACCGATTATGAAATTGACGTTCGATAATTTTTTTTTTTTTTTCTTTAAGTGTCAAATGGTAATAGTAATAATAATAATAATAAAAAAGCAAATGTCGGTAATTTAATTTTAATAGTTTTTCCAACGTTCAAGGTTTAATTATTTATAATAATAATAATAATATTAATAATATCGTTGTAGTCGTGGTGAAATAATAAACAAACGTTAAAGAAAAGGAACTTTAAGAGAGAGAGAGAGAGAACGTTTTGTGTTTTTTTTCCTTTTCTTTTCTTTAGCAAAATATTTTTATTATTATTATTATTATGAAATTTTTTTAACCGTTTTACAACAACCTTTTATTTATGGCAGGCAGTGTGTGATTGAACACGAGTATAAAAATTCCTGCGGTTTTTCGATATCGTTCATGATGAAAAAAAAATTTCTAATTATTTATTTATTATTTTTTATTTTATATTGGAGAAAATTGGATAATTTATTATTGATTGGAAAAAGGTTGTTGTAGTTGTTGTTGTTGTAGTTGTTGTTGTTGTTGTTGTTGTTGTTGTTGTAGTTGTTGTTGTTGTTGTTGTGTAGTTGTTGTTGTTGTTGTTGTGTAGTTGTTGTTGTTGTTGTATTTCGGATGATGTTTTGTTTCAAAAAAAGAAAATGAATGAATGAATGAAAATCGGGGTGGAGATTTATTTAATTTTTCTTATTTTTTAATGAGAATTGACTTGTGTGTGTGTGCGCGTTATATTTTTTATGGTATAGATTTTAAAAGTGTGTAAAAATATAGAATGAGGAAAGTGAGATGGATAAAAAGAGAGAGAGAGAGAGTGTGAGAGAGATTCGAAAGCCGTTGAAACAATTCACGATTACACCTTCTATATAATAAAAAAAAAAAAAATTTGTTTGTTTGTTTGTTTTGTTTTGTTTCTCTCACTCTTCTTAATTATTACGCAATAGTATTTGGCTCAAATTTTTTGTTGTTGTTTTCATTGTTTGTTGAGGTCATAATTTTGATTGCGGTAAATTTAAGACGTTTTCGGTTGTCGCGTTTGTTTTTTTTTTTTTGTTTGTCTCTTTTTTCCCGCGGCGTTTGAAACCCAGGAAAAGAAAATAATTATTATTGACACGACAATGGAACATTCGATGTTGATTTTGGCGCGTAAATCCTGTCGGTTAAACCGTCAATAGGGATCGACAAGTTCCGTTTCCTTTTTTTTTTTTAAACTCGCGAAAACAAAACGAATTGTTTTTAATTTTACGACTCGTGTTTTTTTTTTTTTAATGAATGTTTCGAATAATAATAATAATAAAGAAAAAAATAAGTCATTCTTTATCATTATTATCGTTATCGTTATTATCTTTTTTTTTTTTTTTATTTGAAATCGTGAAACTTTTCATTAAAAAAAAAGAAAAAACACGATTTTCTTGTTCTAAGAATTTTTTTTTTTTACTTCTTCTGCATGTGAAATCGTGCTGTTTTTAAAGAAAACGATGAAATTTTTTCATGTCAATTGTTTGTTGTTGTTTTCCCCCCGTTCAACTGGAATAATCGTGTCCTCGAATCGGTCACAAGACAAAGTTTTGAAATCTCATGAAAACTCGTGAATATATTTAAAAATAATTTTAAATTTAACATAAGAATAATAAAAGCCAAACACGTTCGATTCCATTTATGTTTGAATTAAATAAAAAAAAGCAATCAGTACTGAAAACACAAACACATGCGACAAAAGAACAAACAAACAAAGCAAAAAGTTGTTGATGTACGTGCCCCCCCCCCTTAAGTCCCCAAGTCGTTGTTCTTGTCACTTCAATTAATAAAAAAAAATTAATTATGAAAAGTTTTACGTTAAACCAAAGGATTAATCATTTGTTTGTTGAGCTGGTCTGTTTTTTGTGTTTGTTGTTAAAACTTTTTGTTTTTTCCCTCGAGGAAATCGAGATGTCAAAATCATATTTCCACTTATTAAAATAAAACGAAATGAATAATTTAAATATATATATATATATATTAAAAGCCCCTTTATCGCGAAAACTAAAAACTTTACGAGCCGTTTGTCGCGGAGTTTGTACAATTTAAAAAGTACAAATTTGGTAATCGCTATTATCGTCCACGATGAAAAAAATGTTTTTTTTTTTTGTTTTCGCGTGGGAAATAATAACTTTTCTTTTTGGTTGTTTTTGTTTGTTTGGAAACAATCCTTGGATTTTTATCATCCCATCGTAAAATAAAATATATTTGTACAAATCTTTTGACACTACAAAAAAAAAAAACGACTTTTTAAATTGTAATTAATTTATATGAAGGGGACACTTTTGTCGAAATACAAAATTTAAAATTGTTTTCTCACATTCGCAATCGTTTTATATGGAAATAATAATAATAATATATTTGTGGAATTGAATGGTAAAAACATGTTGAAAGTGTCATCTTTTTAACTTGACCCGACCTTTGAATTTTTTTGCAATTTTTTTACATATATAAAGCTCGTTAATTTTTTATTTTTATTTTTTTTATCGTTAATTGATTCGTTTAAAAAAAGGAAAGAAAGTTGTTTTTATTGTTGTTGTTGTTGTTGTTGTTAAAAATTTTTTTATTTTTATTCATTGTTTAACAAAAAAAAGAAAAAAATTTAAATTTTGTACATTTTTTAGGTAGTCGGCGGTCACATTGTCAGTAAATGACGTCGGGTTTTCTTTTCTTTTTTTTTTCGAATGTTCGATTGCAGTCTTTTCTCTCTCTTTCTCTCTTTTATTAAATAAAAATTTCTTTTTATTTAATGATTTAACCCACTTTCGTCTTTATAACGTTTTAATATTTTTCATATTGTCCTTGTGAAAATAAAATAAAATGTATATAAAATCGATCAAACTTGAATGAACGAAAATAAAATAAAATAACATTAGTCATGACGCCATTTTATATTTTTTTTTATATTTTAATTTGTTTGTCTTCAAAAAAAAAAAAAAAAAAAAAACACACACAGTCGCGACGTTTATTGTTAAGGGTTGTCGTCGTTTACGGTTAATAATTTTTTATATAACATTTGATAATAATAATAATTGATGTGAATGAACTGAATAAAAATTGGTTTTAATATATACTCTATGAGATTATTATAACACGTGATAGAAATTTAACGTAATTCGTGCGTCACTCATTTAAATGTCAACAATTTTTTTTTTTTTCGTTATAATAAATGGCGTCAAAAGCCGATCAATTTAAAATGATTTAATTAATAATAATAATTTTTAAATTATTGATAACATTGATAACGTTTTTTACCGTTCGTTCGTCCGTAAAGATAACCGAAGGAATAATTTTTTATTTTTTAACCGAAACGTAAATAGTATTGATTTTTCAGAGGATTTCTTTGGCAAAACTTGGCTCCGTTTATATGTCTATCTCTTTCTTTCTCTCTCTCCCCTCCCCTCTCTCTCTCTCTCTCTCTCTCTCTCTCTCTCTTTTTCGAAAAGTTTTTTGGTCTCCGATATAGTTTTTTTGACAAAAATAATTTATTTTTCACTTGTTTTTAAAAAATTACTATTCTCGATTTTCAAATTCTCTCTCTCTCTTTCTCTCTCTCATTTTTGTAGATTTAACCATTTTGAATTCCCCCCCCTTTTTCCCTTCCCCTTGCCTCCCTCTTTCTCTCTCCCCCCGCCTACGTTTCCGTCCCTCCTCCTCTCGTCCCTCTTTTTTTTTCACACAGGAAATTAAAATTTAATTAATTTAAAATCTTTTGAAATTTCTTTTTATTTATTTATTTATTGTTAAAAATTTTTCCGGAATAAATTTTTTTTTTCTTTTTCTTTTTTTCTTTTGTTACCGGGGAACGTTCATTCAAAACAACAACAAAAAAATAAATAAATAAATAAATAGAAAGAAAAAGAAACTCGTTGGTAATTATTATAATTGAATTGATAGTTTTCCTTATTTAATAACGTAGTAGGAAGTTACCTATATATACATATAATTTTTTTTTTCTATTGAACCGGTGTGTGTGTGTGCGTGCGTGCGTGTGTGTGTGTATGAGTGCGTGTGTGTGTGTGTTTTGCGTTTCATAAATTATCCGGTTAAAAAGAAAAATTATTTATTATTTAATTATTTAAATTTACAATTAGAAAAAAAAACAAACCAAGAAACGAAACGAAGTTGAGGAGAGCGGGGAGGAGGAGAGGGGGTGGGGAGAGAGAAAAACGTCGATAACAACCTTATTAATAATAATAATAATGAATTTAAATTAAATTTTATAAAATGAGAGTGACCTTTTCTGGTTTGTTTTCTGTATATATACATACACGACGTTGTTGTTGTTGTTTAAAGTGCCGTTGACCACCCGACCGACCAAATAGTTCACATATATGGTCTCGACCGTAATAAAAAAAAAAAAAAAAAAATGGCGACGACTGGGAGCAGTTATGGAAGGTGCAAAATAAAAAAAAAAATCATTTATAATATAACATTAACTGATTTATTATACTTGTCACATTATAAACTCAACGTTTAATTTATTTTCATTTTCATTTCTTTTTTTTTTAAAAGTAACGTTATTTTTCTTTTTACACACATTTAAACAATCTCTTGACCATCTCACTTGACTATTTCTTTTTATTTAATAAACGCCTCTCCCTACTACTACTACTACTACTACTCGTTTGCCATTATTATTATCATTAACAGTATCGTGTGACGTAATTATATGTTAAACAATAGGGTTGTTGATATATATTATTTAATACTCGTTTAATTTTTTTAAAAGTTATTCAATCGAATCGAATACTTTTTTTTTTAAAAAAATTGTAAAAAACATAAATAAAATCGAGTGTAGGAAATGTGGGAGTGGAACTAGAATGGTGGTAGTGGTGGCACACCTTAATCCAGGAGTGGAGATTTTTTTCCTTTGTTCGAAACAAAAAAAAAATTTATTTTAAATTCAATTATTATTATATTTACTCTGTGGGTACGCAAAATGTAAATTGTAACACGATTTTTAATTAGATATCATTATCATTATTATCATCGTCAATTTTTTTACGTAAGGTTTTTTTTCTATTTGATGTCAGAGTTTAACTCGATCTCGTAATTGTTACAACGAGAAGAGAGAGAGAGAGAGAGAAACATGTTCAAATTTTATATGTAAATTTTTCATATAATATCGATCTTAACAAATAAAACGCCTGGAGGGAAAAAAATTATTATTATTTACTTCACGATTTTTTTTATTACTAATTTCATAAATTTGTTGTTTGTTTTGTTTTTGGCGTTTTCAAGTTTTAGCCTAATGGCAGTAGAGAGGAGGAAGAGAGAGGAGGGGGCAATGAAAAATCGTAATAAAAAAAAAAAAAATTTTATGTGTGTGTTTGTGTGTTTGTTGATTTTTATTTATTATTCGATTCGTGACTCGTTTGTTTGTTTGACTCTCGCAAATAAAAAAATTTTTTTTGTATTTTTTTAAAAAAAATTCGTAAGAAAAAAAACAACGAGTTAAATCATTTATTATTATTATTATTATTATTATTCAAAATTTCTCAAAGTCAGTGTGAAAGAACAAAGAAGGCGTTCATGACTGTTGGTGACACTTTGTACGATTGACGACGTGTCATCATCAACACATTTTTTACCGTTTAATTTTAAATTTAAAAAAAAAAAAATGATTCAGTCATTGAGAAAAAAAATTATTATTATTATTTTGCTTTAATGCATTTAATTTTAGCAAAATTAATAACAGCAACAACAACAACACTAAATAAGCGATTTGACCTTTTTTTTTTTTTTTTTTTTAACAATTTTTAATAATCGTGACTAATGCAAAAGTAGATCAGGGTTAAATTAAAATTACGTGGTATAAAGCACACCTTAACTTACCAAAATTATTTTTTATTTAATTTAATTATTTAAAAAACGTAATAATGGGGAGGGGGGTGACATTAGCATCGCATCCTTCATATTTACAAAATTATGACGGATTAATCGGTAAAAATACGTACGAATGTTTTTTTTAAACCCTTTTTTTTATTGGGAAACCCCCTTCGTGTGCTGCACACAAATCGCATAAATCGCAATAAAGTGTGGAAAATTTTAAAAGGAGGAAAATCCCGGCGTATTATTATTATTATTATTATTATTGTTTTCGAAACGAAATATCGGCGATAAAATTTATTTTCTTTCTCTTTCTCTTCTTTCCCCCCACCCCATCCTACCCCCCACGCTCGTATTCTAAAATTATGGTTATAAATTTTTCAGGCAGGGAATAATAAAAAGGATTTTAATTAAATTCATTTCTTTTTTTGTTTGTAGGTTCGAGATCTCGTGGAAAAATGTACCTGTCCGACGCAATTTCCAATGATAAGAGTTTCAGAAGGAAAATACAGGATCGGCGATACCAAAGTTCTCATATTCGTGAGGGTAAGTGTAAATTTTTTTTTAAAAAAAGTAAATAATTCAAGGCAAAGGACACCCGGCCAGGTTTGCAACCTGGAAAAAAAAATAATAATAATAATATGTTTATATATATATATGTCTTATGCAATCACTCGATAAGAAAACACTTTCACCAGTCACTCTTAGCCTAATTTTTTTTCTTTTTTTTTTCGCCATTAATTTTAAAAAATTTATGTTTTATTGTTTTTATTATTATTATTATTATCATCATTATTATTATTCGTTTTCAATTTTTTTTTTTTTTTTAGTGTTTTTTGCCTTGTGTAAATAAATTTTTTGAAAAAACAAATTGTCGGTTGTTTATTGCGGTTTGTTCGTTTATGTGACAAAAAAAAAAACAAGTTTGAATTATTATCATTATTATCATTATCATTATTATTATGCAAAGAACGTCATTAATTTCCATTTTTTTTATAATTCAATTCAGAATTTAATTTTTCTCGCATCGTAAATCAATTATATTTAGGGGCCCGCGTAATGTTTTTGTTTTTTTATTGTTTAATACATGTCAAGGGTTTATTCAACCCTTTGCGATATGTAATAATAATAATAATGATGATGATGATGATAATTTTTTAATAAATTTTCGATGTTGGGCAATAATTCGAGGAGGCCTTGTTAAAAAAAAAAAATTGCCGTTAATTTTCGAATCAATCGTGTAGAAAATAGAATTTTTCTATAATTAACTCGAGTCAACACGAATAGAAAAATTAAAATGTGTTTTTTTTTCTCCGGGGGGCGGGGAGGAGGAGGGGGAAGGGATTTAAAGCCTAGAAAACAAAGGTTCCGTTCGTAATATAAAATAACGCGGTTATTATTTAAAATTCAATGAGATATTGATTACGCGGCGTTCTCGTTTTTTTTATTCTTTGACGTTAATGTTAACTGATTTTTTTTTTTTTTAAATGTAATTGTCTTATCGTATGTTTGTTTTGACTACTCTTATTGACATGATTTCGTTCGACGTTTTGACTTTTGCATACAAAAAAAAAAAAAAAAAGTTGAACGTTGCGAAAGGTTGTTTGTTTGTTTGTTTGTTCCTCGTTTATATCAGTTAAAATGCAATCGTTTGTTTTTTTTTAAAGATATTAAGAAGTCATGTCATGGTTCGAGTCGGTGGCGGTTGGGATACTCTTTCCCATTACCTTGATAAGCACGATCCGTGTCGGTGTAGGTCCGGACACAAAACGGCTTTATCATCAAAACTCGTGCTCAAAAATAATGGAGCCTTAGAGTTGAATAACGCTCAAGTTCTTTACGAGAGGTAAGTCGCGTCCGTAAAAAAAAAAAAAAAAAATTTATTTTGTTGATCTCGTTAATATAATATTTATTACATAATATATATACGATTAGGTCTCCGCCTCGAACTCGTCGTTCATCCGCATCGAGTTCTTCAAGCGGTCACGGAGGACGGGATTATAGGGATTTTTTACCGGGTTATACAAACGGCGTGAACAGATCACGTTCTCCGACTCCCAAACGAGAGGGTGGTAAAAAGGGTGGTTTGAATCCTCAAAAATACATTTCTACGATTTTACTTGATGGCACCAGACGCGATACCGTTTCACCGAAACGGGGTAGGAGCGCTTCTCCAGGAGCTGCTCTTCATCCCAGTTATAATTCACCCACAATGGCTAGTCGTAATCGAAGTCGTTCTCCATCTCTTCGAAACGTGGACGAACAAAAGAAAAAAATTTCAGAGGTTGGAACTCAACAGTGCGACGACGTTAAATATTTAACGGCTACACAATTAACGGATGCAGAAACCGAACCGAGTAGAAGGGCAAAAATAACGTTAGAAGCAAAAGACCATGTAAATAGCGAGGACAGTAAACACAATGATAGCGGTTCAGAAGTTTCAGACGAAGGATATCGTAGTTTAGGTTTAATTGTTACATCACCGGTCATGGGCGAAGGAAAGTTGGTTTCGAACGACATCAAAAGTGGAAAACTTAAAAATTGCGGAAGTTCTTCGGCAGAAGGCTCAGATCCTATAGGTAAGTAAAAATAAATCAATTCTTCCAGTTTATTTTTATTCGGAATAAATATTAATGTTTTTCGTTTTGTTTTTTTCCACAGAGAGCCCTACCTCGGAGAGCATCAACTCATCCGCAAATAACGAACGTCAAAGCGAGGAGGAACCAAAAAAGAAAATCAACAAAAAACCATCACCGATCGCGTCGGCAGACGTAAGTAAATCACCTTTAAAAACTCAAACAATAAAAAAGAAACCGACTTCGCGAATAAGTTCCAGGAGTTCGTCTCCGGGTGGACAAATCGAGAGTCAAATACCATCGAGAAGGTACTCGGCCGTTAACGACGCGAATTCGTGTCGAAGGAAATCGAATAAGGAAAACGAAATAAGAAAAACGCCGCGAAGTCGGTCCGCGACTCCCGGACGATATAATTCGGTCGAAACTCCCATACCTCCGCAAAACGCGAAAAGTGCCTCCGAAAACAAATTCGGTACCTGGAACGGAAAGGGTAAAAAACGACCTGGAATAAATTCTGACGGATACTCGCCATCGAATTTCGTACGAAACAGCGTAGGTCGAAGCAGTTTAGGTTCTCACTCATTACCCGGCGGTGTTAAACGCATAATGCAAAAGTCTGGAGAATCCAAAAATAATATGTCACCCTTACTGGCTGATTTGCTTAAAACCAAAAATTTAAACGACGACAAAACGATATTATTAAAAATGAAAGAAATAATAAATCAGTATTCTGGAATATTCGAAGAATCATCATCATCATCGTCATCCCCGGATAAAAAATCAGATTCGAATTCAGACGATTTAGATTTCACGAGCGAATGGGTTAAAAATAACGGTAGCCTTAGGAAAATGGAAAATTGTTCTGGAGATTACAATGAAAAGTCATCATCACCGAACAAGAGAAAAGACGTTAAATACGACGGATCTCAAAGCAAAATACCAGCTCCAGTATTTTTTAAACAACAACAACAACCACAACACGTTTCAGAAAAGGAATACTGAGGAGGATAAAAAACAAACAAACAAATAAAAATTTCATGTTGTAAAAAAAAATAGAAATGAAAAGAAAACGTTTAATGGCGTGCAGGCACGCTTTAGGCACCGTGAAATCGTGTCTAATTTTTCTTTTTTTTTTTTTTTGTTTGTAGTTGTTGTTGTAACGAAGACTAACTAACAAACACAACATTTCCTTATTGATTGTTTTATTTATTATTTGAATTCGTGAAAGAGTTAAAAGGTTCGAAAAAGGTTATAAAAAAAAAACCACTCGAATAAAAATCTCTCGTTTGTTTTGCCTTGACAATTGCCTTCGCGTTAATTATTATTATTATTATTATTATTATTATTATTATTATTATTATTATTAATATTGTTTTACGAATCACTAACTCGTTTGTTTGTTTGTTTATAATTTTTTTTTTTTCGAATCACATTCCTGGGGGGTATAAAAAAAAAAATATTCATTCCATTTTGTCGCGAGAGGGAGAGAAAAAGAGAGAGATTGATCTAATCAATGACGTAATACATTTATTTTTTCGCGCTTTGCCCCGCCCCCGCTACCGCCCCCTGCTCCCCCTTCAATTTTTCTCTCTCGTTAATAATTATTAATTTTTTATTCGTTTTTATTAAATAATATTTTTTTGTATATTTATTATCGTGTGTAAATAAATTTGTTATTATTATTATTATTAACAATTTTTAAATTAAATTTTAAATTTAAATAAGTAACAATCGGGATTTGACTACCACGACGTTATCAGGTATTTTAGGAGGGAGGGAGATATCGATGTAGGAAGTTTGAAAAAATTTGTGAGAAAGAGAGAGAGAGAAAAGGTTAATTAATAATTTTTTTTTTTTTTTAAGGTGTCGAAGGTTACCCATGATATTGAATCACGTTAAAAAAAAATCAACGTGTTTGTTTGTTTGTTTGTTTGTTAAACCGCCGTTTGTTTGTTGCCTTTTTTTTCTGCCTACAATAAAAACTAGTTTTTTTTTTTTTTTTTTTTCGGCGTGTGCGTGTGTGTGTGAGTGAGTGCGTGGACGAATTATTATTATTATTTAAATGGATTTATACGTTATTACTTAACACGGTCAGGTTTTTTTTTTTTTTGTTGTTATTTAACAGGTTGAAAGCGTTAAATAATTTACTGTTAATTTTAATACTTAATTTTTAATTATCGGAAAATTATGATATTTAAAAATTTCATTCAGCGGCATTCTTAACGTTTAAAAAAAAAACGGTTAATGATCACGTGTTTGACTTCGTCACAATAAAATTTTAAGTGCCATACACGTTTAATTACAGAGAATGACGTCATCAAAAAAAATTTTATTTCAGTTTTTAAATAAAATATAACGCCGCGTAAATTTTCTCGTTTTTTTCGCTTTCATCATCATTATTATTATTATCATTATTATTTTTAAAAGGAAGTTTAAAAAACTTTTATAAATGTGATATCGATCTAGTAAATGTAGTGGTAAACTGGAAGAAAAACGTATAATTTTTTAGTTTTTTCACTCGATTAAAATTCAAAATGGCCGACCGAAGGATTTTGAAAAGAAAAATAATAATAAAAGAAGAAGAAGAAGGAAAATTTTTTTTTTTTTTTTATTGCTCAACTTTTTTTTATTCCAGATATTATTATTATTATTATTATTATTATTATTATTATTATTATTATTATTATTATTTTCAGGGAAAAGTTTTTTTTTGCGTCGTTTTATTATTAAAATGAATTAATTTTTACTCGAAAATGATTTTAGAAATTTTTTTAAACGTTTCGAAGAAATTTGTTTTTTTTTTTTTTGAACTACATTATAAAACAAAATGGCGGAAATTTTTTTTTTTTTTTATAACTTATTAAATTATAAATTAATTCATACTTTTTTTAAAAATTAATAAATAGAAAAACTGGTTTTTCCATTTTCATCGTAATATTTTAAATAATCGAACCGTAAATATTTTTATTACCCGGCGCCATTTTGTTTTCCTCCTGTTTTTTTGAAGGAAGGAAGAGGGGGGAGGGAAAGATGAATTTTCCTTTTTCGAAAACAAACAACAACCTTTAAAAACATTTTTTTTGGTTGTTTTTCTTTTTTTTATTAATTTCCCACACACGCGAAATGAGAAAATTAAAATTTAAACATTAACATAATCTCGCTCTCGTTTTTTTTTAAAAACACAAACGTTTTTTTTTTTTTTTTTTTTAATAAATGTTGGCCACCCTGATTTTTAAAAGAAAATTATCACTTTTTAAAATAATCCTTCAAATCACTCTTATTTATATACTCAATTGCGTAAAAAAAAAAAAAAAAATTTTTTTCTCTCTTTAATGATTCGGTAATTGATTCCGTAAATGGTAAACGTTACGGTTATTATTATTATGGTCACTCTTAAACACGACAAGGCTCTTATTTGTCGGGGTTTTTAAATATTTATCCCAGGTTTCTACCCGATTCCTTAGGGACAAATACTCGAATATCGGTGGTGCTATTTATAATATTTTCCGAAGAATGTGGGCCGTCCCACATAGTGCGATTTCCTGGATGGTTTCTTCTTTTAGGTTCTTCATAATCTTCTTTAAATTTCCTTTTATTGAATGTGGCATGGCTCCCAATGCTCCCACGATGACCGGAATCGTTTCAGTTTTTGTTCTCCACATCCTGGTTATTTCAATTTCCAAATTTCTGTATTTCAGCCTTTTGTCTGCTTCTTTGGCTGTGGTGTTTTTTTCTGCCGGCACGGATACCTCAATTAACTTACACCATTTTTCCCCATTATGCCTGAGTATGATATCCGGTTTGTTAGCTGGCACAGTTCTATCAGTGTGGATTTGTTGATCATATAGAACTGTGCATGGACCTACTGTCGTAACCGGGCTTGGAATGTGGTTGTACCACTCCTTGGGTAATCCATCCATTCCATATTCTCGGCATATACTCCAATGGAGATATTGACATATTTTATTGTGCCTTTCTAAATATTCATGTTTTGCCAGTATCGGACAACCGGAAATTAAATGATCGATGGTTTCCGATTGAGATTGGCAAATTCGGCACTTGTCATCTTGGCGGACTTTGAGAATTACTTTTTCATAGTTATGGGTCCGCAATGCCTGATCTTGAGCCGCTGTAATAAACGCTTCTGTTTCAATTTTAAGTTTTCCACGCCGTAGCCAATTGTGCGTGCTCTTCTTATTAATATTTTCGGCATTTATTCTTTTTAGGTATTGCCCATGTAATTTTTTCTGTTCCCATTTGCCTATTAATTTCTTCTGAGATTGGGCTTTGCTATTATAAGTTGCAAGTTGCCCTTCTTCCATTATCTCATTTTCTTTATTTTCTAGGACGATTTGTTTTGCCCTTTTCAGAACTCCTTTTTTTGTAGTTTTTTCTTCTGCATGTATAACTTGGGCTAAAATAGGGTCCTCTTGATGGGATTCTATGTATTTTCCCATTCCAATAATGGCATTCTGGTGTGCCGCTTCTATTTGTCTTAATCCTCTTCCTCCATCTTTCCTGCTGACGTACAATCTATCCACATCAGCCTTTGGATGTAACGCACCATTCATGGTTAATATTTTTCTTGTCCTTCTATCTAGGTGCGTGATTTCTTCTTTCGTCCAGTCTACGAGGCCAAAACTATATTCTATTACAGGAACTGCTAATGTGCCGACGGCGGTTATCTTATTTCTTCCATTCAGTTCCGACTGTAATATAAGCCTCAATCTTTTAAAATATTCTCTTTTCAATCGAGGTTTAATTTCCTTGTTGGCTATCCCAAAATTTTCTTCAATCCCCAGATATTTGTATGATGATCCAGGGTCCAATTCTTTAATAAGTTCTTCTTCGGAGTCTTCTATATACTGCTTTTGTTTTAACTTTCCTCTGACAATA